TCGTGTGACCCTCAACCAGGACGCGCCGGGACGGGTGGAAGGCTCCTAAGCGCACGGCTAGAAAGACAAGAGTGATCCCCACAAATGACGGGATATAAAGGCGCAAGGCTCGTCGAAATGTAGCCGAGGCGAGGGTGGTGAAAGTCTGTTCCCAGGCGCGACTGCGAATCAGCTTGAGCGGCTTGTAGGACAGGACGTAGCCAGAGATAACGAAGAAGATGGCCACCATGATATGGCCTGAGACGAGCATGTGCAGTATCGGCAACTGCCAGAGCGCGAAATTCTCCCCATTGAACCCCCATCCCAATGCGACTTTCCAAGTGTAGGTGAAGAGGAAGTGGAAATTGAACACGAGCAGACAGGCCCAGCCGCGCAGTCCATCCAGGGCCGCGATGGCGTGCGGCTTAGTAGCCGGTCGGGGCGTTCCTCCCACGTATTGTTGTAGGTAACTTGGGGTGATTATTATGGCCACTTTGGTGCAGAAAGCTTCCGCCATGTCCGTAAACTGACTGAGGTATTCCTGAAGGCTATCATTGTAGTTGCTGCTACTGAAGCCGCTGCTCATCGACGAGTAACGATGGTCGGCTGCTCTAGAGGATGATTCAAGATCGTGAAGAGGGACATCGTGGACGGGGAGAGGCGAGGCGAGGCCCTTGTCGATCAACGACATGATGGGTTGTATTGTATCGTGGAACTCGACTCGCTATGGGTGGATGAGGGGGAAATTACTGAGCAATGGCAATGCGTTCGTTATGGTTATGGCGGGGGTTAAGAGAAGAGGGAGATGACGCGCGGCTTCATGGGAGGAACGGAGGACGATACAGCAAGAGGAACATGCTAGGAGGATGTCGCACAGTCGTTAGTACCGAGTAGTCCCACATTTACCACAGCACTAAGCATACAGAGGACATACCTGGATCCGGGGGAAGGGGGTTGAAGCTGCAATAAAGAGGCAAGTGGGAGAAGGAGAAGGATGGATAAGGAGAGATAAGGAGGGAGAGAGAGAGACGAAGGTGGAGGAGGAGGAGGAGGAGGAAGCCGATGAGAGAAAAGGGAAGGCGGAGGAGGAAACTTTACCTGAATGGAAGTTGAATTGCCGCATTTGAGGCCAGCTTAACTGTCAACTGAAATCGGCTGCATTGAAGAGCCAATGCAATGAAAAGTGTAAGAAGCACAAAAAAAAATAGAAAAAAAATTAAAATAAAATCAAACCATAGAAGACAAATCGATTCTAGCTCCACTATTGCTAATGTACATACTTAGAGACATCCAAGATGTTCCTGCAGCCAGAAAATGGCCAACTCTCCCCCTGCCTCTCTTGCTTGCTCTTCTTATACTTCCTCCGCGTAGCTTGACTCGAACTTCTTTTGCTTCCTTCTTTCGCTTCTTCTCTTTATCCTCCCTCACTGTTTCTTCGACCACCCAACACATCCCCCCCATTTCATACCCTTCGACTCGGATTACTTCCTTTACATTTACTACTATATTTCCACTTCATCGCGCTTATCTCCTCTCCCGATACCATCCCCTCGAAAAGTCGTTGTCTGCGTCTACCTCCATGTCCGGATTCGTTCTTCGACTTTCTTTAGCCTCCACTTCAGCTTCATCCTTCGCGCCCTCTTCACCTATTACTTTGGTCTTTCAACAATCTTAAACATCACGCAGATACTACAACAGCGCCTGAATCCCCTTACGCAACTCCTGCGCAACTCCTGGATACCGCCTCGTCGCACTCTGTCCCTCCTCGTCTCTCCAAGCACGCGCCCGCCATGGATTTGCGCTCGATGTTGAACAGTGACACTGCTGGCAATGCCAACAATCCTCCACCGGAACCCCAGCAATCGCCATCGGCGCAAACCACACGAAAGCCATCCGATGCAGTCTACAGCCCACACGAACAGGTCCCCGCCGCGGCGCCCGCTTCCTCCGCCTCCTATCCGGCCGGTTTCCCCGGAGGATCAATGCAGCGGCCTCATGTTTCTCCCGAACGCTCTTCCTCCTACGGCTCGCTGCAGTCTCCTTATCAACATCAACCTACCTCAGGTCGCTCGGCTGGCTCGCAAGCTGCTCGAGGTCAGAGCCCACAACCAGGCCACTACGGTTCGTCGCGTGATTCCTCCTTCAATCCCCCTCAGCAGCGCTCGCAATCCATTCAATCGGTGTTGTCCCACGACACGCCCATGACTCACGCATCTCACCCCAAAGAAAGTCCTTCAACCGCCGGCATTGCGCCTGGATATGCCTCCCAGCAATTTTCACCTCCAGGACCCGGATCTCTGCCTGGTACTCCCCGCGGGTCAACTGCTGCCTATGCTCAACCATCACCGTCCTCAGCTGCGCGCCCACCCTCTTCAGGCCAAGACACGCGCTCAAACCGCGCCTCCAGCCCCTGGGTCGGCCAGGAGGCATCGATGCAAATGTCACCCACTGCGATGCCCCGTTTGTCGCGTCCCCGAGACCAGACCCCGCGGCCGTACCCTGGTACCATTGACCGACGCGGCTCAGAAGACAGTGTGAGTCCCAAGACCACGCGGGCGCCCAGCTATCCAGATTCGGCCGTACCCAGCCAGACCACCCCTCGCGAGAATGGAATGGCCGTTGCGGAGGCGCATGGTTACTCCAGTCCACATGAGCCTCCGAAACGGAAGCGTCGTCGCTTCGATGCACCCCCGATCTATGCCATGAGGCCGGAACGCACCAAGGGTCGCGGCCCTATCATCCCGAATCCCCTTCCTCCCATTCCCAAGCACTCCCGCGATAGCCCGGACAATTCTTGGAATTTGCGACAGCGGGCTGCTTCGGCTGCTCAGGGTCCCGCACACGCCGCTGCCGTACCCGTATCCATTAAAGCTTCAAACGATACCCCGCCCAGCAAGACGACGGCTCCGGTCCCCCGTGCGCCTTCCGCTGCGGCCGAGCCGCAACAGTCTGGGAGTTTGGGACCGTGGGAGCCATCCATCACCGGGGAATTCCCTTCCGAGGACATCACAAGGCTTGTGTGCGACTTTCTCTTTAGGCATGTCGTGGTCCGCAACGACGCCATCGCAGCTCCAGCGGGAGCAGCAGCAGCGGGGTCGGCGCCCATCATTGAGGTGGAGGCCAAACTGGGCCAGCTCATTGACATGGACCGCGGAGATCGGGTTCAGCTGCCCATTCTGTCCGAGACAGTCATGAACAAACAGTTCCCACGCTTCCGCACGGCGTTTGAAAGCAGCATGACAGTGGTACGTGATCCTCTTTTCCTGCGGTCATTCATCACACCACTAACATGCTAGGCTAGGCCCAACATCAAGCGATGAACAATTTCCTCAATGAAGCCGTCAAAAGGTCCCTGGATCAGGCCGACCGACCGCGCATCCCCATTTCGTATGCCCACAAGAAAGAGCGCGACACTTTCTATGAGGTATCCCCGAATGAACTGCCCCCGGTGATCCGACAAAACCTGAACCCGCGCCACAAGCCCAAGGTCCGCGTGACCGTGGACCAAAGAACCAACGAGGTCCTCGCCAAGATCGTCAAATGCCGCATCGCCGACCTGGACATCCACAGCCCGCAAACCTGCGTCGACTGGCGCATCAGCGTCAACCTCGAAATGAACTACGACGGTGACGTGAGCCAGCTCACTGTGGTCGATCCGGCGCGAGGTCGCGGAGGGGATCGCAACAAAGACCGGATGAGCTACCGCCATCTCGCCTACCAGATCGATCTCACCCAGGTGGCCAAATCTGATGTACGTTCCATTTTCCCCTCTATATTCCCCGGCCCCACTGGCCCCTTGACTAACTATGTCCGCAATTAGTCCGCAAAAGGCGAGTTTGAGCATGAACTCGAGGTCGAAGTCTCGGCGGCCGAAATCCGTCGCCAGGGCCAGATGGCCATCAATCAGGAGCCCCATCAGTACGAGGACCTCGTCAAGGGGTTCCTGGATAACGTCCGTGTTCTGGCCCGTCAAGTACCTCCTTGACTCAACTACCTCCATTGACATTTCTTCTTTTTCGCGTATTCCCCCTTTCACCTTTGACTTCTCGCCCTTTTCTCCCTTCCTCGGTCGGTCACAAAGTCCCCTCGTCATCTGATGTGCATATAACGAATCTACACATTTGCATCCGGAACTTCTTGATCCCCCGTGTTTCTGTTTCACATAGTCGAAGACGAGAGTTTCACATTACTTTCTGATGGAAATGAACATGCGTGTATTATTCTTCTTTATAGCAACCTTGTTTTTTTGGGTTTGTTCGGGTCGGCCTTCTCTTTTTTTCCCCTGTCCAGTGTATACCAGATGTATCATATATAGCTTCCTTCCCCTTGACCATTTCTTTTTTTTTACCCTCGGGGTTTCTATCTTTGCCTACCTGCCTACCTTGACTTAGACTACTGCCTTTTTGGGTCGCAAAAATGAGGGAAAATCGTTGATTGACTGGATGATTTGAGACAAGCTCCTTGATTTCCTTTTTCTTACTTCGTAGCTGTGTGGTACGTCTACTTATTAGATTATAGCAAGGTGACAAGACTCGAAACCAAGAATCAGGTGAAGTGAGAGTGAAATAGGATGAAAATTGGGGGGGTTGGAAGTAGACAAGATAGAATGATACAGATGATACAAAAGGTTATGCAAGTTTGCGACGATATTTGTTTAACCCAGAAGCCGCGCGCGCAAACACAAAAGAACAAAGAGGAGCCAGCAGCAGCAATAACAACAACACCCTCGAATTGGAAGAAAACAATTCCAGCGAAAGCAAATCAGTGTGTGGAATTTTCGGCGGTCAGGGAAGTAAAGTTATACGCAATGATGATGCTACCTGTCCATCGTCCATCGCATGTAAGGAAGAAAAAGAACAGAAGCAGTAGAGAACAGGACAGCCCTCTGTCAGATGGTCTGGAGCAACGGCTTTTTCGGCGATCTATATTTTCCCGAGAAGATGTTACTTTGCGCCTAGGTTTAATGGCCCTTCGTCGATTTGGTTTGTGGGGAATAGTGAGGAATTCATGAGAAGCGTGAAGAGTGGAGGCTTCAAGGGCTGGGCGTTCCCTCTTCGTAGCGTGGTCCTCCGTCGTCACCGTCGTAGCCTGCACCAGGAGTAGCGGCTGCTCCGGCGGGGGTCGGTGCGTCGTAGGGACGGCTGTGACTACCCGCGCCGTCGAACGCGGCGGGGGTGGGAGCATCGTATTCTCCTCGTTTCGAGATTCCACCGGGGGTGGGTGCATTGAAGGCGCCGGGCGTCGGGGCACTGTCAGCCCAGCCACCAGGCGTGGGTGCCGACGCTCCAGGCGTGGGGGCACTGCCGTAGGCGCCAGGAGTAGGGGCGGAATAGTTGCCTCCGGGTGTCGGGGCGTCGTAGCCCTTGTTGCCATTGCTGGCGGATGCTCCTCCCCAGGCAGGTGTCCTGCCACCGGCATTGGCACCGGCACCGCCCCAGGCCGGGGTGCGCGAGCCGGCGGCGAAGGCGTCAAAGTCACTGTTGCCAGACCCACCGTAGGGAGTGCGGGCACCGGCATTCCAGGCGGGTGTACGTGAACCAAAGCCTCCGGCTCCTCCGTAGGCGGTGCGACTACCATCATAGGGATTAGAGGTGCGGGAGCCGTCTTGTTTCCAAGCAGGCGTGCGCGCGCTGCTTACGCCACCCCATGCAGGAGCTGCGAGAAAGAACAGTCAGTATGTGTACAAGGTAAGGAGAGTTGAAATTGACACTTACTTCGAGCGGATGCGGCACCACCCCAGGCCGGTGTCCTAGAAGAATCACCCATACCCATCGGAGTCCGACCACCCTGCCATGCCGACTGGGAAGCAGCGGGGCCGCCGTTGGGAATGCGTCCACCACCCCGTCCCCGGCCCATCTCGATTGTCTGGCCAGTGATCGGATCCTTGACAACCAGCAGCTCTTTGTCGATCGTGACCAGCTTGTTCTTGGAATGCAGTTCCACGCGGGCCTGCAAATCCGACGAGTCCTTGACAATACCGACCAAGCCCTTGTACGGTCCCTTTCGAACCTGAACAGTCTTGCCAATCATCCTGTCCCGTCCAAAGCTTCGCTGAGGCGGTCCCATCATACCGCCAGGAGCTCCGTTCCTCATTAGCGCCGGGTTCATCTTTGTCAAATCGGGTCCGGTGGCCCGTCCTCCTTTAGCCGACACAGTGACAACGTTTGTCGTACGCACAACAACAATACCAGAGTTCTCAGCCTGCGCTTTGTTATGCAGGAAGAGGAACGAACGGTAGATATGGAGGATCACGCCGCTGCGCTGCTCACCAGACACCTCCCGTACTGTGTCTCCGAGACGGATCTCGGCACCATTGCGATCCGTGGCCACTGCATCTCGACGCGGCGTGATCTTGTTCGTGACATGTGTGGGAAGGATGGTACGGATGGATCCGTTTTGATCCAGAACTCGGAGAGATTCGCGATCAACTTTGACAATGCAGGCGACAGTAGCGGCACTGTATAGCTAGTTAGTCATTATTTGAGCAGTCGCCAAGAGATGAACTCACTCTAACTGAACCAAGTCGTGTACGTCAAACATGCCGAGTTTACCGTCCACGCCAGTCTCCGCAGATAGACGCAAGTCCTTGCTAAAGACTGTGATCTCTTGCATACTCATGTCGCTGAGCAGCGTCACCGTGTCGTCCTTCACCTGTACAACCATACCCAGCTCGTCCTGGTATCTGCTGCCTCCAATAACCTTGACATGGTCACCTTCTCTGAACCGTTTGCGAAGAGTCTTGACCGGTGCTTCGATGGTCTGTCCTGCCAAATCGCCCTGCGTGACCACCAAGGTCACAATCTCACCACGTGTGGAGGTGGTGCGTCCGATCAACCCTTGCTGTTCGCCCCGGTAGACCTCGACAGGATCTCCAGGGAGATATGATTCTTCTGCAGTCTGGTTCTTCAACGTTTCGGCCAAAGAAGCCAGATCCAGATTCGAAGTGCCGTCGTCTGCACCCCGAGCGAACATAGTAACCTCTTCCAGTCGAGGGTTCACATTCTTTGTGATGAGGTGCTGGACCTTCATGTCCTTGATCAAGAAGCCCTCGCTGTAGGTCTCACCCAAGTAGTTCCATGACTTGCCACCCAAGCCAGACGTCGCAGAAAGGTACTTGGCGTGCTTCTTCTTGGCTTCAGCCTCGCTGAAGGCACGTTGAGGGGGACGAGCCACCGCTGGGTTCATGCCAGGACGCTTCCGCTTAGGATCGATGGCAGGGGCACCAATATCCTCGTTCAGACCGTAATCCAAACGAGGAACCAAGCGCACCGTCACAGCAAGACCGTTGGTCTCAACCTCCTCAATCTGCGCGAGATCGCCCTGGTATTTTCCACGCTTGATCCGAACCCAGCCTCCATGCGAAAGCTCTTCCGACTTCTGCACACGCAAGAGATCCGGCATCTCTCGTACGGGCACCAGGATCATCTTTGTCCGGGGATAGACGTTCGTCATATCCTGCAGTGCATCCATAACATCAGCCTGCCGGCGTGCCTCGACGTAGATGTATCCAGCCATCGCTCCACCTCGCTCGAAGGCGGAAATAATCTTGACCGGGTTGCGAGAGCCAGGCGGACGCTCTTCGATGCGCTTCTGAATCGAGAACACCACCTCACGCTCCTTGCCAGCCTTGCAACGAACACCCCAGAGACTCGGATCATCGACACTCGGGAGAAGCAATCGCTTGGGAACAATCACGGCATCGGTGGCCGCCGCACGGTTTCGACCATAACGCTCCTTCAGCATCTGGGCCTGCTTTTCCGCATCCATACTGGCCGCCAATTCGCGCTGACGATCCAGCTGTCTGTGTCGGCGATCATCCGTCTCCACTCCAACGGGCAGTGTGTCCATATCGTCGGGGTGCATTTCCCCGCCAAATTCCATGTCATCCTCCTCGTCCTCGGCCTCATCCTCATCTTCATCGACACCGGCCTCAGTGTCGACGAAAGAGAGAACACCTCCTCTCCGTCTGCGCTTCGCGGGCCGTCTCTATAAATTCGGATGGAAGCAGTTAGCCATCATACCTTCTCCAAGCCGCTGCCCGGGGGGAGCGATCGCCGAAATCTCTAGAGCCACTCACGGGATTTACATCGTCGTCGTCCTCCTCATCCTCCTCATCTTGATCCTCATCTTCCTCGCCCTCGTCGTCTTCATCGCCTTCCTCCTCGTCTTCGTTGTCGTCCCCTTCATCGTCGTCATCCGCATGGCCACGTCCTCTTGCATTGTCTTCACTGCCCGCGCGATACCGTGCCGTCCGTCCAGTGTGTACATCGGCGTCATCATCGTCATCGTCGTCGTCATCCCGACGACGGTGCGTCGCCTGCCGAAAAACAAAAACCCTAGCGTCAGCCTGATCCGTCAGACACCACCCAATTCCTAGCCTCGGTACGAACCTTCACATCCTCGTTATCTGAGTCATCCGCCGGGGCGGGGTTGAAATCGTCATCTTCCTCTTCGGAGCCGAAGTCCTGATCTATGAGGTTTCGCGACATGTTGAACGGAGGGTCGATTGATTTGTGACGGGAGAATGGTGTTTGTATTCGCAGAGGGTGACGAAAGTAGAACGGAATGAAAGTCCGGAGTTGGTAATCTCGTCGAGTTTGAGATTGCGATGTTGTGTGAAGACGAATCTCTCAAGTGTGGACGGGAAATGGAGCAGGGATGCCCACAAACCTTCTTGACGCAGTATAGATCTCTGATATGATCAATGAGGTTCCAGGTATAAGAATAAATGACTTTTTCTGCGAAGATCAGCGGATAGGGAGAAGCAAAGACCGCGCAGAGCTGGCAGTGTTGCGAGTGAGAGAGGTTTCACCTCCGGGGGGCTGCGGCGAGGCGAGTTTCCGTTGTTTCGCCGACTCCGCGAGGCGCGATCTTCTCACCCAGCTGGGTTGTTGAGTAGCAAGAGATGAGGAGGGAAAGTGAATTTGTATCGCACTGGGATTAGAGTTCCAGGCACCAGCTGCGATCGAAACGGGACACCGAAGGAGAGAAGAGAGATGGTAAGTGTTGGGTTAAATGGGAAGAGAAGAGAAAGAAAGGTGGAAGAAGGCATCAAGCATTGGATGGATGGATGGATGATTGATGCGGGCAAATGTCATTTTGGGTTCTTCCGCCCCGCCGGACCGCCTTCCTTTCACTCCACGGCAACTGGCCTGCAATTGGCAATTTGATTTCTTTCATTCTATTTGCGTGACTTATTGGCTCTACCTAACTGAATGATTCATTGTTCAGCTCATTCAGAGACTATTACCGCCTTTTGCACTCCAATTGAAAGGACTTTTGACATCCCTTGGCGGCCTTTCTGGCCCCACCTCGAGGAGGTCTACAGCACCATAGACTAGACAGCTCAGCCATACCATCATTCATTGACTTTGCGATATGCTAAGATATTCGGTCCTCCAGGGCAGTTTCTGCGTGATATGATACAGGACGCTCAGCAAAATCGTCATATATACTCCAGCAAAATGAATTACTTGATTTCAAGACCCGTAACCAATCCCTACAATTTCAGCCCGAAGAGCTGATGCACACGCAGACTCTGGCGCATGCTAAGATCCAGCATGATCTCCTCACTACCACCCGGGATGGCATAGGCTCGGACGTCGCGGTAAAGCCGCTCGACCTTTCCACCTTGGCCACCCCGGCTGTAGCTGAGACCGCCGAAGATTTGGCTAGCCTCGCGCGCACAGAATTCATATGTGGTCGTTGCCTGTGCCTTCAGCCCGGCAATAGCACCTCCCAGCTTGAGCATGGCTTCCGTCTCATCCATCGATTGGCATTGGTAGATGATGTTCTCCAGCCAGTTGTACGTCGCCTCGATTTGACGGGCCATGTGTGCCAGCTTCATTCTGATGACCGGATGGTCAATGAGCTTCTTACCGAAGGTCTTGCGCTTGTGCGCATACTTCATGGACTCCTCATAGCAGACACGAGCGAACCGCACACACTGGATCACAATGCCAATACGTTCATGGTTGAAGTTGGTCATAATCACTATGGGTAGGGTTAGATCCTTCAAGGAAAAAGCACAAGTGGCGTCCAATGCGTCAGGCACTTACCCTTAAAACCTTGGTTCTCCTTTCCAATGAGATTCTCCACCGGCACCTTCACATCCTCAAACGTGATATAGGTGGTACCACTGCTCCAGACACCCTGGCAATCCATGCGCCGGGTGCTGACACCGCCCTGCTCTCTCTCAATGAGCAGCACACTGATGCCGTTCATGCCTGGTCCACCGGTGCGAACGGCGGTCGTGAAGTAGTCACTCCAAATACCGTTGGTGATCCACTTCTTCTCACCGTTCACAATGTAGTGTTTGCCATCTGGTGTCAACTTGGCCTCACAAGTGAGGTTGGCGACATCACTACCCGCGTCGGGTTCTGTAATGGCCAAACAGATGCGCTTATCACCTGCCAAGATCCCAGGCAGAATCCTCTCCACAAGAGGCTTCTTTCCGAACTTGACCAGGGGAGGACACCCAATACCGAAGCCACCAATCAGATTCCAAACGAAACCGCCGCTACCAGAGCGAGACAGTTCATCCGTGAGGAGCATCTCATGGAACAGGTCCCAGTTCTCAGGGGCCACGGATTGCACCCGATTAGGGGTGTATTGAACTGGGTATTTGATTCCGAGCAAGCCAGCCAGATATCCGCGCTCTCCCATCTGTTTGTAAATGCGGTCGGGGACGTTCTTGCTCTCGTCCCACTCTGTCACGTTTGGCTCGATCTCAGTATCCACCCATTGTCGGACTTCTTCACGCAGGGCGGCATGCGTCTTGTTGAAGTACGGCGAGTGGTACTAAAGGTCCATCAGCGATAATTAGTCTAGGCCTTCACTATCTCGTGCTACGGTAGTGTGGAAGCTTGCTGGTACTTACACCGTGATACCAAGCTGGGTCTGCAAAGGGGATGAGGTCGCCAAATGGCTCCTGGGCCTCTAGCGACTTCGCGGAAACCACATCAACGGGTGCAGCTGGGGCCTTCGCAGGCTGTTGCTTGACTGGGGCGGATGCTGGGGCCGGCTCCGGTGCAGCGGCCTTCTTCGAATCCAGGGAGCCGATTTGCAGCTGGCCCTTGAACTTCTTCAAGATGCCTTCATTGTGGTATTTCCAGAACTGCTTCGATGCGTCTTTGCCGGCCACCCGTTGTAGGACTACACGTGGCGGAGGTCAGCTGCATATGTTCGGGGCGGAGTCAGGTATACACTGGAGGAGTCATACTCTTCTTGCCACCTATAGGAGTCACACAGTGACATTAGTCTCGATGTAAGACCTATTACCTGGGGTTAGAGACTCACCTGGGTGCTCCTCCTGGAATTTGGTCAGATCGTACACATCCTCATCGATCACAACCCACAAGTTATCCGGTTTGCTATGCGAGGCTACGTCGTCTTTGGTGAATGTCTTGGCCATTTTGTTCGGAAAGCAAGAAGACGAGAAGAGTCTGTGTGGGTATCTTCAATAGGTATAGTTGGAGTAGGTATAGTTGGGTATGAATACGGCGCTCCTTAAGTCACACTGCGTTGTACAGTGGAGTGGGGTGGGGAGGCAACAGTGGGGTCCGAGATCCGGGGTAAGAATGTAAGTCAAGAGAGGGAAAGGGAGAATCACGGATCCTGGGGTAAATGAGAAAGAAGGGGGAGAATGGAATGAGAAGCGGGTCGAAGTCGATATAAAAAAGGGCCAGCTGAAAAGCAGGCTGGCAGGCTGGTAGGCCGGCAGGCCGGCAGGTTGGTTCAGTTCAGCTTTGATCACGGAGGCCTTACCCCATGCAACAAGCCTCCCGGTCAACGAGATGGGTCTTCTGGTAAATGGGAAAGTCCAATAATTATCATAGGAATAAGAATAATGGACAGTGGATACAATGAAACAGAGTCACGATCGGCGACCGAGAACAATTCCCTCGGAGTAATCATCTACAAAATGGGAGGGGAGGAAGTAGTTTAGTTCAAGAAATGGCTTTCACATGTCGGGCCCGACTGACTTCATCACTGCCTGCCCACCAGTGGGCATGTACAGTACTCCGGAGTACAGTAGAAGCTCAAAAGCAGCTCACGTGGACCACGCCTCGGCCAGTCCGGGATGTGTATTGCTCTTGCTCCGATTGGCTTTTCCAGCTTCATGGCACGTGCGGGGCTTTACTGCAAGGAGAAACAGCCGAGGCATTTTGGAGGCCCCCCGGGGCCGCCGCCAGCTTGCAAAATCCCCAAGTCAGTGGATCAGATGAGATCATGCATCATGCTACTTGCTAGTGGCTAACCTTCCTCCACTACTGCTAGCATGTGAACAGGAGGAAAATCAGAGAGAGAGAGTAAATATATTGGTAAAGTTTTCCAGGGTGAACCAGAGAAAGAACCCTCTGTGAGCAGTAAGTGGTTCCTGCTTGGCTGAAAAGATAGCGACTGCCTCCTATTCAGTATCAACTCGTATACCCATAGACAACGACTGCTGTACAGCCAACGTAGTATCGACCATAAAAAATGACGTCGTCAGTTTCGCAATCCACAACTGATACTACGACCGTCCTCAAAAGTATCGGAATATGTTTATTCAATTCACATAGGGCGTAACTTCCATAATTAACCTAGAAATACAACCAGCCAGAGAGATCTATCAGGGCGACCGGGAGCTTTACTCTTCGACTCCGTCACTCTCATATTCAAACTCATCCGGTACAGGCGCTTCCTCACCGTCCTCTTCGTCTTCATCCACCGCTGTCAACACGCCGGCGGCAGCCAGGGCTCCCGCGTTGGCTCCGGATTCAGCCCCCAGACCCCGGCCACCACCGCGCTGGGGTGTCTGGAAACCGGCCGCGCCCATCGCGGCCTGCAGACGGTCTTGTAGTGTCTCTGCTGCCGCAGCCTGCTTGACCTCCTTGCTAGCTTTCATTTCGATCTTCTCACGAGGCTCCTCGGGGGTCTTGTCCAACACAACCACTACACCACCGGTAGGCTGTTGTCAAATTAGCATGGGTCACATATATAGAAAGGGAGGAAAGTATGCTTACCCGTTTGACGGGCTCATACCGCGGGTCCGGGAAGGTCAGATATTTCAACTGAGCTGGCAGGACACGAGACATGTTATCCAATTCATAGCCGATCTTCTCCCGCTCAGCCTTCTTCTTCTGCCCTTCACCACCCTCCTTCTCTCCATCCTTCGCCTCCTCTTCGCCCTTGGCCACTGTCTCGTCCATTTCCATCTTGTCTGCCAAAGGTTCCGATACCTTGGGTGTAGTAGGAGTCTGATCAATGTCCATGCTCTCACGTCGTTGTTGCTTCTCGCGGCGCTGAGCACGACGCTTAGCTTGGGCAGTGGTCGAAAGGACAGCAGTCTTGATCTTCTCAGGGGCCTCCTCGGTCTTCACCTGTTGCTCAGGTGGGTAATCGAAGAGGCTGGGTCTCGTGTTGCTGTGGAACTTGAACAAGGGAACTTCCAATTCATCATCCACGCCAATCACTGCGGTCGGGGTGAAGCTGAGGGACAGGAAGTGAGTGAGGGGGAACCAGTACCAGTACTGAGTGAAAACAGCAGCACCAACGATTCCGGGCATGTTGAGGTTGCCCGTTTGGGTTTGGAGGCTGATGGTGCAGTTACGGCCACCAGCATCGATGATGCCCAGAGCCACGGCGCAACCGAACTTGGCCATGGCATCTTCGTGTCTGTCCCCAATCATCTTCATCATGGTCTTGCGAAGCGTGCTCACGCGAGGATTCATGGCCTCGTTCTGTTGCACCAGGACCATGGCCAAAGCGATCAAAGCACCCTGTCTCACAAAGTCGGTCGAGTCCTTGAGCATAGGCTCAAGCAAGTCAATGGCCTCGTCCAGACCAGTACCAGCACAGGAAATACCCAATGCCATAGCAGCTCCATAACGAACGTGAGGGTTGTAGGACTCAGACAGCAGCTCTACCATGCGAGGCACACTCTGGTGCTTGCGGAACAAGATAAAGCCCAAGCTCAGAACAGCAATGCGGCGAACATCATCGTTGACATCACTGACAGCAACGTGGAGAAGCTTGCGGACAGCCTTGTTGCTACTGCTACCACAGTACGCAAGGGCGATCGTCATGATACCGCCATAACGGAGAGTGGGGTCGGGATCGCCCAGAAGACCGTTGATCAGCTCGTCGGCAGCCTCTTGACGCCCGTACATGATCAGAGCCATTCCCAGAGCCAAGCCACGGACGATCTTTTCATGCTGCGTGTCATGAGCGTACTGGATCATGTCCTCAAGCACTCTCATGTTGCCAGTGCCCAGCATGACCAGACCCATGGCGAGACCGACAGCCTCGCCGTTAAGTGCAGAGTCGGTGTAGAGTACATTCCGCAAGTCCTCGTAGATAGACTCGTTGCCGGTCGCCATCCCCGCAACACCGAGACCTAAGGCACCACCGTGCTGAACAACTTCCTCGGTGGCTTTCTTGAAGTGATCACGGATAAGATCCACAGCCATGCCACCGTGGTTAGCATAGATCAAACCTAGTGCATACAAGGAACCTCCTTGGCTATAGACCGAGCCTGAACCTCCAACACCCGCGATGTGCTCCCGAGGCAGGTAGGGCTGCAGAAGCTTCTCACCCTGGGTCAAATTACCCCGGTGGATAACCCCCAGTGCCGCGGTAGCGGTGAATTTCGACCAATTAACAGCTTTACCCAACCATTCCAGGTTGTCTCGGAAAAACTTGTCGTGGGTGGTGCCGGCGTGCATGAAAGCGTTCGAGAGCGTGACAGCAGTGTGGAAAATAGAATTCCGCGCCTCCAGACTATCCCGGACCTTGTTCAAGATAGCGATGTCGGCCTTGTTGTTGCGGTACAGGAATTCCAAATTCAGTTGGATGGTCTTTCTACCATCGATGATAGCAAGAACGTTCTTGTAAGCCGCGCGCGCTTCAGTCAAAATCTTGGTCTGCTCGTTGTTCTCGCCAATAGATCTGGATTGGCTGTCCAGCAAAGGATCCGATTCCTTGGGTTCCTCTTCAGCCTTCGACTCAGACTCCTCGCTCGCCTGTAGGGGCTCGGCAATCTCGCTGCGAACTCTCTGAAGGAACTCCTGTGTTCCGTTGTCATAGAGATCGAAGGAAATTTGGTAGGCGACGGCGAGTGATCGCGCATCACCCTTGTCGACCAATTGACGAAGGATGGCCGACGCCATTGAGTGCTCGTTCAGATACACTACACACTTGGCAATCGAGAAATAGTCGGGCGCAGGGATTTCGTTGAGGAGATCGAGGATAAGCTTAAGGATCTTTGGAGGTAAATGTTAGCATCAGTGTAAGGGGGCAATAGAGAAGAAGATATGGACATACGTCATTGCGGAAGCCACGCTCCTGCACAATTCCCATGCAGATGTCCAGCACATACTCCATAAGCTCTTCACTTCGTCGTGATTCGCCGTTCTGCTTCTTCTCGTCCTCACTAGCCCGGATAATTGTTTTCCGAAGGACATCAAGGTTCTTAGCCTCGATGGCGATTCCAATGACTTGACGATACCTCTTTTGAGTGAAGCACTGCTCAAACAAGCGATCGATGATTGCTTGCAACTGACCCTGAACTCCCCGCTTCAACACTAAGGGTGTCTCGACCTGCTTGATGCTCGCATCATCGCCACCCGGGTAGGCCGCATCCACTCCGGGCACTTCTTGTCTGGATAAGAGGGACTTGGATGGCAAGGCGGACTGTGAAAATGGTGTGATTGGAGATGTCAGGCTGGCGGAGGTGCTCGTGGCCCCTTCACCGGAGGTGGGGAATGAAGTGTTCAGGTTCGCAGGTTGGTCACCTGCTGCCGGCCGCTGGGCAGCGGAAAGCGAAACAAAGGTGTCAACACATTTGGCTGAGAGATGTAAGCATTAGGTACTAGCCACTTCAGTGGTGATAGATGAGCTCAGTAGACATACCGATGATTGTTTCCTCGAATTCGCCACCACTGTCCAGCTTGAACAGCTTTCCGGCACCTAGTGCAAACACCATACTTTCGTTGTACTCCTGGAGGTGATAATACACCTTGGCGGCGACTAGGGCGGCAAGCTCGCGTTCCGGAAACGATTCATCTTCGTAAAGCGCCTCTCTAAATTCCAAGGAGTCAGTCTCAGAATAAAATGAAGCAGTTCATGGTTGAAATCGAGATGGAGTTGGGAACATGGGTGCGTCCATCGAAAACGGACAATCAGGCTGACAAACGAACATTTGAGGTACGGCGTCGACGACTTCTGTCCAGAGGAGGTCGATCTGGGAGTCAAGGGTCTTCAAAGCAAAGACTCGCAACTCTGGATCAGACTCAGAAAGAAAGCCGACAAGGCCGGCGGCTGAAGCAAGTCCAACCATGTCTGAAGGGAGTGTTCTGGATTGATGGGAAATGGCAGCGCTGTCGCTAGAGGATGGGGCGACAGCTTGGAATGAGCCGTGAAGTGGTTGAGTCGGTTGAACCCAATCTGCGAATTTCAGGACTACTGAAGATCAAAAGGCGCAATGTACACGTGAAAACGAGATGGATAAAGCAAGCGGGATAGAAAGGTGGATGGTGGGAAGAGACAAGCTCGGAGTGATCAGGAAGCTTCAAGGTTCCTTTCCAGTAGCAGCAGCAGCAGCAGCAAGCAGCGAGGCACACGTCAACGGGGCGGAGGGAAGCTGTCGAATGGTATTCCTGGTTTCTGCCGACCGCCCTATTAATGTCACGTGCCTGGTGATGGCATGCGACATATGCAGCAGGTCCCTGTCCACAGGAGTGACCCTTTCTTTCTCTTTATCATGTCGTGTGCAAGGAATCCGTGACTGAATCATTTCGCTCCATTGAAGAGAAATTTGAGGCGGGTATTTGTACCCTGACTCCCGCCGAATTTCATCTTAATTGCTCGGTCTCCTCCAAGCCGTCATCACCCCCAAAATGTCGGCAATATTCGCGCCGAGAGCTTCCACGTACCAGCAAGACACACTCGTATACATTGACCGACAAGCCAAACAAATTGAACTCAACCTGCAGAGTTTCATCGATGCTCAAAGTGAAGGCCTTCTTGCTGGCCTGGTGGGACCGCAGTCCAATGCTACTCCCTCGACTAGTGGGAGCCATACTCCAACCTCAGCGCTGGGTAGTGTCCAGGGGCCCTCTACTGTTCCAGTGAGACAACCACCTCTCGAGAAGATTGGTCTTCGTGCGGCTCGGGAAGGCATATTCAAATCTATCTACGACTTGCTGAAGTTGAGAGAGGAGGAACATGAGCTACTGATCTCCCAGGTCGATGAACGACACGATGCACTCCAGGACATTGATGGATTTAATACCAAGCGTGCCGGCTTAAAGGCCGCAATCTCGACAATTCAAGACGATCAGGAAGGTCAGCGGACCAAAGACCTACGAGACGAAAGTCGCAAATTGGAGGAAGACATCCATGAAATGGAAACCAGACTGTCCCGAATGAAGGCTAGGCACCAAGATGTCATCCGGGAATTGTCGCAAATGGAAAACTCGGTCGACTCCAAGTTGTCCTCCTACAAAGCTTCTTTAACACTCTTGGAGTCGGACGCTCAAAGATACCTCCAAAATCCGCCTGTGAGACCTCTATCGGCCAAGTCTAGTGACGCGACGTTCTACACCCTGAACCCAAAACGACGGACCCTCGATCTCGCCCACGAACACTGGACCAAGGAGCAAGCGGACCTGCGCAGCCGAGAAAAGGAAGTTAAGGCAGAGATCGAAGCGCTGGAGGCTGGTGGCGGAGTTTGGAAACAAGTAGTCGGGGAAGTTACCGGTTACGAGAAGCGGTTGAAGGCGATCATGCGCCGCTTCATACGAAACCAGTCACAGCTTCTGGGTCCAGAGGGTACTTCACAAACCCTATCGGAAGAGGGCATTGCCCGGACTGTGCTAGAGGATTTGAGACACACATCTGAACGCGTAGAAGATCACTTAGAACTTGCGGAGAGTAAGAACTGGAAATTACTCGTTTGTTGCATCTCTGCAGAGCTCCAGGCTCTGCAAGAGGCTCGCCAGCTCCTGCTGAATCTGTTCAATGTGTCCGATGCCGACGTCCGGTCGCCTGTCGATGGCCCCAGCGATGATGAGCACGATGTCCATGCTGACCCGCTTGGGGTGGACAACCCAGAGCCTCCAGCTGATCTATTGAGGGATACGGAGGAACCCTCTCCTGATGTAGTTTCTAGGTCGTCTGGGGGTGAAGATGATGAACCAGATCCCGCTTGGCTACTCCCAGAGTCGTGACTGTTATGTACACCCAGTGCCTGGTTCATCTACTTGGAAGATATTACTAGCTCCGATCAAAGTGGCTTGAAAGCTTCCGGATATCTATACATTCTAATCATGAAGCATCTTTTGCCTGCTGCTTTCAGGTGTTTGCTCTAGTTAACACAGAATTATAATCTGACATGATCCGAGTAACAAGCTAGAATTAGGAGAGCAACCACTTCGCTGACTAAGTTAGTCACCATGCCCATAATATTTGGACAAGCGCATTACGAAAAAATGTCACAAGGGATGATGTCTGCATGACCCCAAGTATATAGGTTTGTGGGCAAATTTATACATATGTATTGCATGAGCCCCCTGTGACCCCGAAGTATAGCACTGGGGACAGTTAATGGAAGCTGTGCAGTACAAACTGCAGCAGCGGCTCATTGACCACCCATCTTTTGCCTGGGTTCCGTAAACGCTTGGGCCCGACCAGCGAGCGTCCCACACAAGGTACTGTACAGTGCAGTACACTCGTACTTCCTCTATTAATCTCCTCCCTGTCAACAGGCCTGCTGATTTAATTTAAGCCAAGTAAGCTGTTCCCCGCCTCCGTCCCACAAGCACGACTCAAGAAGTTTCCAGCATCCTAGTGATATGCCACAGATATATATGTGCTGAGGGTGGATCTGGAACTCGCCTCTGATAATGCACCTCCCCACCGCGACGCACACCTTCACTATTCCGTCCCTCCATGATGGACTCAGGCTCGACTGCCGGATCTACCATCCACAAGGACAGTTGAATTCCAGCAGTCCGTCATGTCAGCGGATACGAGGTGCGATCGTTGCACATCCGTACGCCCCTCTCGGAGGATGCTACGACGATCCGGTCGTGGCTTTCGTTGCAGGGGAGCTTCTCCGAGCTGGGTTTGTGGTGGGCACCTTCAACTTCCGGTAAGCATTGCCACCCCTTTTGTGTGTGTTTCTGGGATATCGTTTTCGCCGAGATGTCTCATCCATCCGTCAGCTGCTTGACAGTCCGAAACCCTTCATTAGTTCCAAACTAATATGTGTTACAGTGGCGCCGGTGGCTCTGAAGGGCGGACAAGCTGGACCGGCAGGCCTGAACTGGCCGATTACGCTTCTTTCTACGAATTCATGCTGCTCTATCTGCATCGCTTGAGAGACACACGCTCTACTTCATCGCAGAATGGCGGAAATAAGCTTGAAGCGGTGCAGCTTGTATTAGGCGGCTACTCATATGGGTCAATGATTGCTTCGTCTCTGCCGCACCTAGATCTGATTGCGGATGTTGTCAGACAAAGTAACCATGGTACTCCCATGCATGAGATCTACCAAATCGCTCGAGATCTTGTTTACTGTTCAGAGGAAGACAAGGCCATTCTCGAACAACAGAAATACACGCCTCAGGAGATGAAAAAAGCCGCGGGCACCATTGAGAGAACAAGGGTCGCCTATTTACTTATCTCACCCATCTTGCCCCCAATCAACCGGTTTCTGACATTATTTGCCAAGCTGTCGCTTGACATCGGACCGTTTGAGTCATCTCAGAGGCAGTCGATTCCTTGTCCGCAGCCAGCAGACCAGGTGTGTGCGCATGAAACACTTGCTCTCTATGGAAACCAGGATACGTTCACATCCGCACATAAGTTGCAGACTTGGTCAAAAGAGCTCAGCCAGAATCCGTCAAGTAAGTTTCAGTCGGTTGAGATCGATGGAGCAGGGCATTTTTGGATTGAGGATGGTGTCCGATCTCAGGCCAGAGACGCTATCAGGAACTGGCTATGTCGAATTCATTAATCCCCGCGCCGTGGTCAGTAGGTAATGTGGATTACATCACAAGAGCGAATGAGTCTAGATTATCTTCCATACAATGGCCATCGGTGCATGGGGCCCGAAAGAATGAGTACTGCCAACCAGAAGTCAGTTTCACATGCGGGCCAGGGATTCGACTATGAGAAGTAGCATGTGAAACTCGTCCGTACGCATGACCGGCCATCCTGGTCTGGGGAGACCGACAAAATACCCAATTAAATGCAACGCAAAGTTCGGATTCGAACTCGAAAGAAAATATCAGCTTTGTCCTAAGCATATGGAGGGAGATAGGTGTGTGAGCTGGGACGGTCCTGATATCCTCCTTATCACACTCGAGCAACTAAAAGACCGACACCACCACACCAATCACGCCAAGGCTATTGCAGCCTGCTAAGGACATTTTCTCACGATAGTGGGTAACTAACCCATCCTCGTCAGAGGTAGTTGATGCAAGGCTCCCTTGTTATTGGACCCTTGGACTTCCGATGCACGGCAACCACGGTCGCACACCTCCATGCAAGATCGCACCTTATGAAGAACCGCACCAGACGCGGATCCAGCTGGACGCGTTCATCAAACAAGCAAGAATAATTACCTCACCCCTGCGCATGGAACCCTGTTTGCAGTCTGTTGGTGTTCTACATTTTTCGCCTTCGAGAACCTCAAAGTCTAAGAATTATCCTTACTCAACGATAGTACAGTACATGTAGAGTGACAAATGTGGGGGAAGTGAGATCAGCGGGTGCTAGTATTGGAATTACTCTAACAGGATCAGGCCGGAAAGATAAACCTAGAGCGTTCGAGGGAATATTTGGTGTTGGGAAAGTATCTGACTCAAAACTCCGTGCTGATGTGGGGGGCAATAAGGATGAGTGGTGCATGATGGCATCAAGGCGCATTCCAGGCAAATCCGATTAGAGTTGTGTTTGTGTGGTTCAAGTTCTATTCAGCAGGTTCGTCAATCTGGACTGCAGCATCTGACCCGATGAGGGATATTACCCATTTGACAGTTACTACTCCAGTAGGTAGGTGGCATGAGGCAGTTGCCCCTCTAGGCGAGCAACCCTCCTTCTATTCTATTCCAGAGACTGAGGGATGTCATTATGTAGGCATCATTCCGACCCGGGGCTCCATCTCTCTCTCCCCGCGTCCAGTATGAGTGAGTAGTGCAGACAGGGAGGATCGGCAGCAGCCGAAAGAGGACAGCGGGGGAGATTGAATCTCCGGCCGGCCTCGTGACGTTTAGGTTGAGTGAGACCTTGGAGAGTTTCCTCTTTTCCCCACCCATAATTCAACCCCGGGTCTCATCTGCTGCTGCTGCTGCTGCTGCTGACTGAGCCTTTCAATACAATCTGCAATCATAACCCCCAGATCCCTGTCCTCACCCTTTTTTTACTTTACTTTACTCTACTTTACTTTTCTATACCCTTCGCACTCTATGAACTAACTAGGGACTAAGTAGTGCCTAACAACAACTTAATCCATCCATCCATCCTAGAATCTCACTATTGCCATCCATCCATCCCAAGCTTACTATACCAATCTCACTTGACTATATCACTACAATCAGTTCCACTTCCATTCTACATCACTTTACCCCCTTTCCCGTTCCCCCAACGCATACCAAGCAAAGCACTTTGTACTTTCTTCTTTATTTGTTCCTTCCTCTTCTCAAACACCCCTAGAATCATCCACAGACCTTTCCAGCCCACAATCATCGTCCTTGTTACTCTAGTTCTGCGGACGTCTTATTCTAAGCTTATCTCGCATGCGTCTTTCCTCATACATGGACTGATGCGGGCCCAAACCTGTCATGTCATTACTCCACGATCCTACCGTTGTGCGCACTCAGTGCAATAGTAAATCCAAGCGTCGTCCAACTCAGGATGCGATTCGAGGCGCGAGCGGCGGGTCTCGGCGTTCACTGCTCAAGTCCATCTCAGTCCCCTCTCTGTCATCCGTTGTCAAGAGCTCTTTGACATGGGCTGGAGATACATTGAACTGCCGCAGAGATGGCGTATGTGCCGAGCAATCCAAAGCGCGCATTGACATAGAAGACAGGAAACAGGTTCTTTACTTGAAAAAGCGGAATGTGAGTTACGGTGTCTACTGCTGGCAATTTCTCCAGCGGAGGTAATGAAAATGAATTGGTAGCCATCTAACTAACACCCTGGTATAGGCAGTGACATATGACGAGTGGCGGATTTGTGCTAGCGAATTGGATGACCTGGAAGAGCACACCATCTGGAAGCAAACCCTCGACTCACCTGACTACGACGTCCGTCTGGTCCAAGAACGTCTTCAGCAGCTGGAAGACGCCCGCATCAGTTGTGATGTCAGCCGGATGCTGTTCCTAGTCCGTACGTCTTTGAGTCGCGACTTGGGAAACATGAGTAATGCCTCGCTTTATCGGTACTCCCACCTGGGCACGAAAGATTTGATAGACAAGTATATCACCACCGCTCTAGACACAATATCCTCGCTGGTCGAGTTATCGGGGCAGAATCGGTGTGATGGTCTAGAAACCAAGTATATACTCGATCAATTACTTGCAGCGAGACAGGCATTCGGGCGCAGTGCGTTGCTGTTCTCGGGTGGTGCGACCTTCGGCATGAACCATATCGGCGTGCTGAAAGCTCTTTACGAAGCGAAACTCTTACCTCGAATTATCTCGGGTGCTTCAGCTGGCAGCATTGTGTGCGCAGTGTTCTGCACACGGACCGAGGACGAGCTTCCGGCCCTTTTGGAATCCTATGCATATGGCGATTTTGCAGTCTTTGGCGAAGAGAGTGACACAGATAATATACTGCAGAAGACAGCACGGTTCCTCAAGTATGGTTCATTTCTGGATATATCACATCTGGCCAAACTCATGAGAAGCTGGCTTGGCGATATTACATTTCAGGAAGCATACAATCGAACACGACGAATACTCAATATTTGCGTCTCTAGTGCGGGGGTCTACGAACTTCCCAAGTTGTTGAACTATATCACTGCTCCGAGCGTGTTGATCTGGTCTGCTGTGTAAGACGTCCTTTTGCTTTTCAATCTTAACATCCTTCATGTCGACCTCGAGACTAACCTCAATAGTGCTGTTTCCTGCTCAGTGCCTTTAGTCTTTTCACCATCCGAGCTCATGGCTAAAGATCCTCTGACCGGAGAGCCGGCGCCCTGGCACGACTTACACAAACAGTATATCGATGGATCGGTGGATGGCGACCTGCCAATGAATCGGCTTTCGGAGATGTTCAATGTCAATCATTTTATCGTCTCGCAGGTCAATCCACATGTCGTCCCATTCTTGCCGAAGGACGATGGTCCACCTCAGCGTGGAAAAACGTCCTTCAATGCCCCACAGTGGCTTCATACTGCCACTCATCTGGCGAAAGACGAAATAATGTATCGCTTGACAGTTCTCTCCGAAATGGGAATTTGTCCAACAGCTTTGACGAAGACCATGTCTATTGTGAACCAAAAATATTCCGGTGATATCAATATCTATCCGAAAATACTGTATAGCAATTTCCCGGTGATGCTGAGGAACCCGACAACCGAGTTCATGCTTCAAGCATGCCTGAGTGGTGAACGTGCAACGTGGCCCAAGCTCGGGCGCATTCGAAACCATTGCGCCATTGAATTGGCCTTGGATATAGCAGTACAGAAAATGCGAGCACGGGTGGCATTTTGTCCTACCAAACTCGGCGTCCGGTCAGATAATAGTCTCAACAGCTACTCGCTCGAGTCGCTAGATAGCAGTGGTGGCCGTGGGCGCATGCTGAATAGACGAAGCTCGTACAACCATGAATTGGAACGAAGAAAGTCCGCCAAACATCACAATACCCGCCCAAACACCCCACACTTGCCGAGGTCTCGAAGCGTCTTCTTATCCGATCAATCACAGAGCATTGCCTCCGTGGCCTCTGCTTGTGGGGATCACGATTATCAGCAACGCACGCAAGAGGAGCGGGAGGACTCCTCCAATACTGGTGACGAACCTTCTTCCATGGAATCTGACACCGAGGAAGAAACACAGACTCTGTCTCCCAAACGGCCGCCGATGAGCAGCACTTGGCGAACCTGGGAGCCATGCTCTCAAGATCACCCTTATTCTTGGATGGCTCTCAAAAGTGATTCATTATCCTCACAATTGACGCCGGGTTCCTCGTCGTCCTCCGGCCAATCTGTGCGATCGCCACTTCAAGGGTTTGCCACTCGTTCTCCGGAATATGTATCGTGTGGTATGCACGAGACGTCATTATCACCTTCCCGCCAACTGCTGCGAATGACACCAACGACCCATGCCAAAAACCCCAGCAGGTCCTCTTTGACACTTTAATATGAATCGATGATTGTTTCAAGGAACCCTGCACATCCTTGTCTGTGCTTTGACGTGGCAAGTGTGCTCTTTTCATGTTCTCAAGTCTTTTTGCATCACCCAGTCATTTTTGTCTATTTTGGCGCATACCTTTTCCTACGGCCTTAAGAGTGTATATGACCCGAGTCCATGAGCAGCCTAGATGTAAGGGGCCGGCGTTTAGAGTGGCAGATCATTGACTGGGCCAGATTTAGATAGCACTACCTAGCCATAGACTTGCATCAGATAAATGGAGCTTCGTGATTTGCTGACTCGACAATTTACTATTTTGAATTTCCTAGGTTGGTTGTATTTGTGCTGGCAGACCTACAATGACATGCATGAAGCACACAGGATGGAGTCAATTGTGTCTTTTAAAAATAGAACAGGTTCATGGGCGCATGAAGAGGTCTGACGATTGGCTTGGACTGTACGACTAAATACCTAATTGGTAAATAGTAAGCATATAATTAGTACTGGTGACCTGTAGGTGATGACCAGCGCTAACTTGCTGCGAATCGCTTTACTGCACAGAGCTTGGAAGCGACGCGATTTCCCCTCTTTCTGGCGCATCGCTAATTGCCTGGCGGTCCAACGATCCAATAGATGGCCCCAATCTGGGTTGCACCCGCTGCAGTGCTACTAATTAGTTGAGTTTAATATAGGAGATACTGCACATATGAGTACTAGCTGCCTCAGGCTAACCCCGCTCTCCACTTCCAATCTACAGGGACATCGGCGGCTAATCTCCAGCTAGTATGCTTTCCAAGCTCATCTCCATGCTAGTTACGTGCTTCTAATGTTGGAAACATACACTTCCTACCTCCTGTTTGCATTATGCAGCGTCGGATGTCGCTTGTTTGCTTCTGATTTACGGCACGATGACACAAATATCCCTCCATCCTAAGCGACTGCGTTCCTGTGGATAAGCTTTTATATTCACCGTCTCCCCCGGATCACAAAGGATTCACTTCTCAGCCTTGTTTGGGTCTGTGCTTTCAAGAACTGCCTGGAACGAAGATCCGATTGGGTTATCCTCACATTCTTCAGCTGTGTTCTTTAGTGTTTCTACAAGCGCTTGCCCAGAGTTCAGCTGTCCAGCTGTCCAGCCAAAGCTGACAGCCACCAACACCAACTTGAAATCCCAGTGGTGCTCGACTGCTTCCCCCTAACCCTAGCATGCGGCTTTTTCTTTGCTTTTGCTCTGGCTATTGAGGTGCTTGCTGTCTTTGACTGTTGGTTTCTTTGTTTGTTCCTGTTTCGAGGTGCCCAACAATCCAACCTTGAAACCTTGAAACATCCCTCGTGATGGCGAGCGCCGTGAAAGGTCCTCTGGGACGATTCCGAAAACACGATTCTCCCTCGCCACTGCATGAGCGATGGGGTGACGTGAGAATCACCGTTCCGACTGAGGGGTCCTGGAATCAATATGAGAATCCTCGCCAGTCCTCGCTCCGCGAAGGGACCTGCAGCACGGGCTTCGTGCCTGCCGCCATGAGTCGCGGCCACGACGATGAGACGGCCCCGTTGACAGAATATGACCATCGAGTTGCCAGGCCCAGCTCATTGTCCGTCAAAGCTCTAAACCCGCGCCGACTATCCGTGCGGCTCAATCCTCGATCCAAGACCTCGAACGACTATCCCCAGGAGAAAGACCAACAGCCCACCACCAAAGCGGAACGCAGACGGTCTCAGTTCGCCTATAGACCCATTCAGCAAGACTACCCCAGCGAAATCGCTGAAAAGACAGCATTCCCAGAGCCCCGTTCTCCACGATTCAAATACATACCCGCCGGCGCTCAATTCGCAGAAGAGCTTAGAGCGATCTCACCAGAGCTTCATTCCAGCCGTCGTGCGAGCTCCTACATCCCTTACGATGAAGGCTCTCTGGAACGGCGTGCGCGACCTCGGACCCGTTTTGACCAGCTCGAGGATGCATTCGGAGACCAAGTGTTTGAGGGGGAGCACCATCACTCTAGACAATCGCGATCTTTGGCCTCCCCGCGCCGAAGCGAGGCGAGCAGTAGCCGACGCGCCAGCGCTTCGGTGGAGAGGGGTCTCAAGCTCTCGACGTTTGACAAAAGAGCTACTCGGCTGGGGAAGTACATTACCACAGCCATGGTACCTGATCCAGACCAGCTATACGAATGACTTCAGCAACGAGACATGAGCATCGACGTTCGATAATGCCCGTGACGGCCTACGGAACCAGACCGATTCAAATCTTGCATAGCATTGCTCTTGGCATGGCGTTTGGTGGCTGAATTGCTTTTTTTGAGAGTTCCGGTAGAAGCCGGTAACTTAGTTACTCAGTACTCACTGTATATATTCATAATATAATTAATCGTATATTATTGTCAGTATGTGTGCACAGGAGTCGCTTTTTGGAATTGTTTGGATCATTCAATCGGATTCAATTGTTCAATTATTGTCCGAATTACTAACCCTTGAGGCGAGTGGCTGACGTCAACCTGACGAGTTTCTCCATTCCATGTACTGTGACTTCCGCAAATGTTGGAATTTATTTTCCGCTCCCAATTGGCGGGATCTCATCCTCAGTACTAAGGTACTCTTAATATCTCTGCTGACTTCGGCTTGGGAGCTGTCAAGCCGAGAGCAAGATCTTGCCGTGGTACCTGAAACTACCTTGTCGTGGAAATTCCGAGAGGAACAACCCTGACAATGATAAGGACATGACGCCATGAAACCCAGGCCTCGAATCAAGTCGACTCCCCACAACATGACGCCATGTTAACGCACTTCAAGGGCACATCAGACAAGCAACAGAATAACTACGGAGATTGATTTATAGTGTTCGGAGGAATGTGTTCTATCCCATTGATCGACATTTATTCGATATTTGTTCTTGAGCCTATACATATAGCATTACTACGTTGCCCACCATGCCAGATTCAGTAGTTCAGTTGCTATGTGGTGTTAAGGTATGGCCGATCATCCCAGTCCGTTCGATGTTTTTTTCAACACGTGCTAATTAGCTTCCAGAATGACCCATGGGGCAAGAAGGGAAAGGATTCCCTCGCCGGTGTGCTCTGGTCCAAAACACCCGGAGCGGGAGAGGTTGATGATTCCAAGACCTATTCTGAAGTGAGCTCTACGATCGCACCGCTCCTGGCGGCTCAGCTACTGACAAGTCACAGATGTGGATGGGCACATACCCTACAGTTCCCTCCAAAATCCTGTCCACAGGACAGCTGCTGAGCGACTACCTGCAAGAGAACCCAGAGGTTGTGGGCAAGTCCGCGTTGAACAAATGGGGTCCGGAGGTGCCTTACCTACCTAAGGTATGAAACAAACCCTCGGCCAACGCGCCTCGATTGCTCAGGGCAAGCAGTCTAACCCAAAGGACAGATCCTCTCTTTCTCCAAGGCGCTCCCCCTGCAATTACACCCTGACAAGGCTCTATCCGAGAAGCTTCACCAGGAGGACCCGAGCAAGTTCGGTGATCCCAACCACAAGCCGGAGATTGCCATCGCGTTGTCGAAGTTCGAGCTCTTTGCGGGCTTCAAGCCCTTGGCCGAGATCGAGCAGCTGCTGAAAGTCAAGCCGCTCGATCAGTTTGTGCCCCCGGGCCAAACGTCCGGCCTCGACGACGAGCTGCTTCGCGAGATCTGCCGGATCCTATTAACGCTGCCCCCCTCCATTGTCGCCGAGACGATTAAGGAGCTATTGGAGATCCCGGAGTCGCGGTTCGGGCCCAACCAGCGGTACATCCCTGGTCTCCTCGACCGGTTACGCAAGCAATACCCGGAGACCGACAACGGAAGCTTAGTGGCAGTGCTACTTATGAACTACATGACGCTGGGGCCCGGGGAGGCGGTTTGCGTTCCGGCGGATAGTATCCACGCGTACCTGCACGGCGATATCATGGAGTGCATGGCCCGGTCGGACAACGTGCTCAACACGGGCTTCTGCCCCAAGGCCGAGAAGGACAGCGTCGACCTCTTCACCCGCGCGCTGTCGTTCAAGCCGCATGGCCCGGACGAGGCGATCTTGCCGCGCCGGAAGAGCGACAAGGGCGAGCACTTCAAGACGGAAGTGTACGCCCCGCCGTTCAGTGAGTTCAATGTCCTGGGCACCAGTCTGGGGGCCGGCGAGAAGGAGACATACAAGCCAGTCGGCGGTCCTAGTCTGTTGATCGTGACCAAGGGCAATGGCACAATGACTGTGGCCGGTGGTGACGGGACGACTTTCGACTTGCGCGAGGGCTATACGTACTTTATCGGGGCGGGGGTGGCCTTGGACCTGAGCACGGAGAAAGGCATCGCGGTATACCGCCCGTATGCGGAGTAGAATGAACGAATAGAGGAGTTGAGAGCGGGGAGTGTGTCGATATCTTATATTAGCGATCACGATATGATAACGTGGAATATATTGTTCTTTTGCAACGCCCTCATGAGGAGAGTATTCAGATAGTACTGTACTGTATCTTTCGGGACATGGCAACTTGGCCAAATACCGATGCCGAAACCACAACCCACGAAAGACACATTCCAAGACAAAACAGAACTGCATAACATTCTGCTATATAGCTAGTCATCTACGGAAATGAACAGCTATCAAACAGTATAAATATAGATCCAGACTAGAGCGATAGCTTGATTCTTGATTCTATTTTGGTCCGCGCATCCCAGCAACCGACAAGTAAAATAGCCGCCGGCCGATACGAGAGAGACCACCCACTCACTGCACATGCGCTCAGGGCATGATAGGAGAGGGGAGATCAAACTATCACCATCCAATCGATTAACTCTTTGGTCTCTTTTCTCCCCCGCCTCTTGCAGGAGACAGTTCTTGTCCAAGGTATAGTATACTATTTTTAATTCTCCCCCCCGGACAAGAAATGGAGACCCACGCTGCGCCTATGCTTGTTTTCTTCAGCCCTGAATCAAGGGTAAAGTAAACGCGGGTGGGGGGGGAGCGTGTGTGTGACATCTGTAAGGGCTAAGGGATTCCATTCATGC